CTCTGAGACAACGTATGTTGTGACTTGGCGCTATATAAATAAACTGAATTGAATTGAACTGTGATGTGGTACATTTGTATTAAATATTAAAATTAGATTGAATGTACAGAATTAATATACATTATCACTCATCTTTTTGTCTTTATGCAGCATGTGATAAATATTTCACTTGAAATAGTTGGTTGGATGTTGGTTTTATAGCAGAGCATATATTTTTTCCTCTCTGTTTCAGTACACCATGCTGTCTGGGCAGGTACCTTTTCAGTGTCAGGAGAAGAGCCTAACACACACTAGTGCTGAAGAGATTATGAAAAAAATCAAACAAGGAGATTTCTCTTTTGAAGGAGAGGCCTGGAGAAACGTGTCCCAGCAGGCTAAAGAGCTAATACAAGGTATGAACATCACCTGGCTTTTGTTATCACAAGATTGCGTGGTCTTTTTATATATATATTTTAAAATATGTTTTCACATTCAAACTGGTGTGTGACCACATCTGTAATTTTATAGAGGCAGACACATTTATTTAAGATATGAGTTCCTTATTAAAAAAACACTTTTAGAGAAATTGCAATTTCTGCTTGAATGCAGTGTGAATGCTGTGTTCTGAATTACTTTTTTAAAATTGTCGGAAGAACCCAAAATTGAGTTATTAAACATGGCTTGCAATAAACCAATGAACATCCGTATGTGTTTGAACATTACCAGTTCAGTGCAGCTTGGGAAGATGCCAAAGTTCATAGGTCATCACACACCCTCCCCACCCTAAAAAACACAACGAAGTCACTAATTTTCTTGGTTTTAGACCAAAGAGTTAATCAAAATCTTTGACAAGAAATAAAGCAGATCTGATCAGCTAGGTCTGGGCCATGTAAGAACAACAATGAAAAGGCATCAATTGGAAAAGTGGGTGTTTAAACCCATGAAGTCTCTTCATTGGTGGGACAAGTTGGCCTCAGAACACAGGGGGAACTTCTACTAATAATAATAATATTGTTAAAACAATTTGTTCCATTCATCAGCGAGTGCTTAACAGCTGATGAATATAAATATATATAAAATATATTTATTTTTTTTGCCATTAAAATTTATGCTTTTTTTCATCTTAAACTGATACCAAAGTCTATATTTCACATTTATAGCCCTGACATTTTTTCTTTTTCTTGTTTTGTTCCTTACATTGCTGTCTACTGATTCATGATTTTACTTTAAACTAATATTTTTCTTAAAAGCATTTTTAACTTCATTTTGCCACTGATTTTTTTATAATGATAAGAATGCATTTATACAGAAATTGTTGCTAATTAAAAGAAATAAAGCACTAAAATCTTGCTGAGGCTTAGATCAACAGTTAGTGGTGTCCCGATACCTGTAACTTCACAAGTACTCAAACTCGTACAAAATTCCATGGTACTTGGGACTGATACTAATGGCAGTATCGATATCAGTGTTGATACTCCATTGAATGTGTTACAGTTTACATGTTAAGTGAAAAGTTTGGCAGTTCCATGTTCAAGAAATGTTGAAAGAAAAGCTTAATTGTTATTTTTTTATTGGTTTTAAGTTTTGAAACAGTATAGATAATGCTGTAAATTTGATTTAACCCAGTCAGAGTGGCTGTAGGCCTGTAAGGTAGGAGAGACACCTTGTTCTAAAAAAAAGAGAGATGTGTTTTGAAACACACTGGTAATGTTTAAGTTCTACTGTAACTCATTAAGTACTTGTTATTTGTATTGGATATTGGCAAGTGTCCAAACTGAAGTACTGGTACACGTACTCGATTCAAAGAAAAACTGGTATCGATACCTAGTGTCAGCTGCAGTCAATAGTGATGGGTGGATCAATACTGAAATCAAAATATCAATAGTTTGATACTTTGCTCATTTCATGTAATGTATCATTAACAGGAACACAGTGGACTACTTTTTCTTCCACATGTAATGTGTAAACGCAGCAGCAGACCACTCTGTAGACATTATATGTTCAGTATTTTCACGTTAATATATAGTATATGTTCATCTAACGCAATTTAAGACTCAAGTTTTCCATTTTATAGCAATTCTTAATAATAAAACAAAAGTTTATTTTATTGGTTTTATTATTTTACTTCATTTTTTATTATTTAAAAAATATTTTTGCATATTACTGTTTTTTTCTGTTGCTTTAGCTCTGTTGTTTTCTAAATGAGGATGCTATATCACTATACATCTGAGTTTAAAATTAATCAATAAATTACGCAGATTTTTTGTATTTTATTTTTTTAAGCATTTATTTGAAATACACTAATTTAAAAAATTTACCTGACACGTTAAAGTATCAGTATTGCAGATACCAGCCTGAGTTTTACTC